GCGGGTTACAACTTCAATACATGACAAGGCACAATGGGAACATGATGGCTACTTATAGCAAACAAGGAGGGTCACATGACATGAACAAACCAATGGGAAACAAGACACATGACTAAGACTACCAATCAGAAAATGACACATACACAAGGCAGAGATACACGAGGGCAAGGGAAGCATGACACTGACAGCATGAAACAATTACAAAATAAAAGACATGGAAAACATGAACATGAAACAAAACCCAAACACCAAACCCCACATTACAGGTTACTTGTATGTAATTATGCATAATTTATTGTTAGTATAATAGTAAGCACATGTAACATGTGTAACATGGGTTAGGCTTCATGCAGTTTTTTGCATTAATCCCTTGTTGTGATATTGTGACCGATTTAGATTTGTGTAATAAATCTAGTTTGTTGTTGGTGATAAATCATTGTTCCCCCCCAAGGTAACCAATCAGATATTCCCGGTGTGGACGTACTCGTACCTGGCAGTGCTGGTTCCTGTCTTCCTCCTCACTGATTGGCTACGTTACAAACCTGTGGTGGTCTTCCAGTGTTTAGTCCTGTTCTCCACCACGGCGATGTTGCTGTGGTGTAATGGTGTCCTAGAGATGCAGGCCATGCAGTTTACATATGGAGTGGTGACGTCGTGTGACGTTGCTTACTTCACGTACCTCTACAGCGTGGTGGAGTCGAAGCATTACCTGAAAGCCACCTCATACTGCCGGACTGCCCAGCTGCTGGGCTACACCGTTGGTTCAGTGTTGGGCCAAATCCTAGTCTCTTTTGAACTGATGTCCTATGACAACATTCTAGTGTTTACACTGGTTCTCACTGGTATTGCTTTGATCGGCTCCATTCTTCTCCCAATGCCCAAGACAAGTATGTTCTTCCACCAAATGAGGAGTGCTAGAGGAGAGACTGATGGTGAAGGGCATGTTGGGACAGAGGAGGATCTTCAGAGCGATGGCCAAAAAGGTGGCGTAGAGTTGGATGGAGCCAAACGGCAGCAGCAAATACCAGAAGTTTCCGCTGAATGTGATAATACAAGTGCAAAAAGTTCCAAGACAGGTAGGACTAATGAGTTGAATCTGTCATATTAGTCAAATCACATGAGTGCTGCAGGAATGAGTCCTAAACCAACTAAAATAAGTGGCATTTTTGCACTTCTGGCGCCATCGTCCCAAAGTCAATGGTTTTTTTGATTGGGTTTTTGGTTAAATGCCTGAAATTAGTTCTGTGGTTAACACAAGATATTTTTAGATTTTATTTATGCCATAAAATACATAAGCTATGCTTATTTGTGATTTCAAAAAGGTGGTTTCTAACAAGTTGCTAAATGCGAGGTTGTCAGTGGACAAAACAGGAAAACGCATCTCATTCTGCTTTTACAATCTATCCAAGAATTTAAAACATAAAACCCACAGGAAATCCCAAAGTGAATCCATAGCTAAAATGCTAATTGTCTTTGATGTTTAAAGCTTCAATGAAATGGAATTAGTGACAGATCTTTTCTGGATGTTGACTGGATGGAGGTAGATCTGAATGTGAGCTTGTAGTCGATTCTGAGAAAAGTGCAGGGTTTAAGATGTCTAAATGATTGAAGAAGTCTCTCGTTTTACTGGCATATCGAGACATTTTGATTAAAAATGACAAGGTCAAGTTGAAAAAAAGAGCGTCATAACGGATATTATAAATAAAATATTAACCTGCTGAATCCAGAAAATCTAAATGGAATGCATCTCTGTTTGGCCTCATGATATCCCAGGTGGCTGCTGTGATGTTCTGCTCCGGTTGTGGAGGGATTTCCTGCAGTGTTTCTCCTCTCGTACGCTGCTTGTCTGGTCAGCGTGGTGGGCACTGGCTACCTGCGGCTACAACCAGACGGTGAACTACGTCCAGTCACTGTGGGACTACGTGGAGCCATCGAGTAACTTCACGGTCTACAATGGAGGAGTGGAGGTCCTCTCAAACCTGTTTGGTGAGTAGACGGGACACTTATTTATTGTGAGCTTATTAGATTCTAGAAAATATGCCTGATATAAACTTTAGTCAGGGTAGCACCATATATTTTTGACAGGAATGGAAATGAGGCTTTCAGGGATAGGAGTACAGTGCTTTCAATGAATTGCACTATATACCCCGATTGTTCTGCTGAAACATTCCAGAAAAAAAAGCTTTTAAGACAAAACTCCGTAAAACAGTTTTGACAATTGTGAGTTGTGAAAATGATTTTATCTAGGATATTTACAGTGTTTACCATTGTAAGACTAAGTCTATAAGTCTACCCGTCACAGTGTTGAAACTGTTAAATGTTAAATTCCGTATGGCATCTAACCTCACTATAAACTCCATTGTTGCATCTGAAATCGAACACTTCTCTACCATACAGAATGCGAAAAACTGCCTACGGCAAAAGAGTAGCTATAGTACATCTGAATGCACAGTATTTAGATAAAATGTAGGTTCAAAGTACTCGAATGACCTAGGCCTACTACTTCCGGTGAGATTCTGAAATGCGCATTTGATGGACACTTTACTATCCCATGAGGCCACAGTAGAGGATTTGTGATTGGCGATTGGCAGAAAAGTGACACAAATCATACTGTAGGCCACATAATTATATAAACACGGTGGATGTAGTAGGTCAGAATTTCATTTATACTACCCATATTCATACTATATAGAACGGGTTCAAAGTGATAGAACACGATAACTATAAAGATAAATAAAAATGTGAATTGTGTTTCTTATTGTACAATACTGCACCTCAGGTGCCGCGGCGGCGTACGGAATCGGTTTTTCATCCGCAGACTGGTCTCGCTGGGGAGAAGTGGCTCTGGGAGCGCTCTCGGCTCTGGAGGGCGGCGCTCTCTTCGCAATGGTCTTCAGCGCAAACATCTGGGTCTGCTACTGTGGCTACATCATCTTTAAGAGCCTGTACATGCTGCTCATCACCATTGCCATGTAAGTTCTGTTTAAAATACGTGACTTAATAGAAACAGATTATGTTTATTAATAATCAAGTTAAATGTTATCATGGATTGAATTTTGCTGAATGCAACCTATACCCGCTCCAAATTAACAGCATAATTGCATGATAAACTTTCAGAAAGGTGTACATTATCTTATCTGACCCCTTGCTGTTTCACCTTAATTGGTGCACTGGTGAAGATTTTGGACCTGTAATGCTGACAGACAAATTTCAGGTCCATTTGTTTTAAGTGAGCTGACAATGCAAAGCATGGAAAAGTCTCTGTTTATATACAGTAGATGCAATAAATAAATAATATACACATTGCAAAGGTTAAGAGGGCAGAAAAATATATATTCTTAACAGCTACATTCTAAATTCTAAATATATATATATATATATTCTTAATTTTCTAGGCATTCCCAGGCCTGGAAATTACATTTACAATATTTCCTAATATCTAATAATATTTCGTATTTTCATTCACTGCGTTACTCTTCACAGGGTGAATTTCCATGATTTTTCCAGTCACTCATCACAGATTAAAGATTTTTGCAAAAAAAAAAAAAAGAGATTGGCACTAAATGACTTCGGCCAATGACATCTTTTAGAACTGAGCACAACTAGAAAAATAAATTATATAAATTTTTATTAATTACTTTTCCAGGCCCGGAAATCACAATTTCCTGACATCTAATAAAGCAGCAGCAAGAAAATTACACCTACACACTAACATCATATCTCCATTTAGTCAGTGAATGCATGAGTACATCCATGTACTTGTTTCATAGGTTCCAGATAGCAGCTGGGTTGAACATGGAGCGTTACGCCCTTGTGTTCGGAGCCAACACCTTCTGTGCGCTGGTCCTCCAGACAATCATCACCTCAGTGGTGGTGGATAGCGGCGGGCTTGGGGTGGATATTGTTACGCAGGTGAGGTTACCTGAAACCCTCCATATAGGCCAGAATTATTATAATCATGATCAGCATGACACAGATGCTAATTTTGCATTAGATCCAGAACATGTATTTACATTGTTCTTGTGTTACTTGTCTTCCAGTTTACTGTCTACGGGACATATTTTTCTATTATTGCACTCATTTTCTTCTTGAGTGGTTTGTATACCACGATGTGCCGAAAACCGGAGACGGAAACACCGAGAGAGAATCCAGAAGAAACGTTTAAGGCAGAAGATGATGCACAAATCATCATTGGAACAAAGTTCTGAGCACAAGGAACAGGAAGTACAGAAAGTTTAAGCCATCACACTTGATTTAGGTAAAATTCATTTTAATATATATTGTATATATTTATTTATATATATATATATACACACACACACATTAACTTAGATTTCTGTAACATAAGTGGTCTTGCGTCTGAGTCTCAAGAATTCAGGAGCTGACATCCAAAAAGAGTCTTGTAGTTTAAACTCATCGTAACGGGAAAAAAAACAGTTTTTGCCTCATTCTCAGAAACTCCGAAAGCACAAAAAGGCAACACTATGATGTCAAAAAGGGATTCCACATTCTTTCTTAATGTTATTCACAGCATGGCGGACGTCAACGCCGTATATGCAGCATGTGTGTGTGTGGACGCGTGTGTATGCGTGTTAAAGATACAAATACTGATATGCACAAAGACCTCAAATTTAGCAATTTCTATGAAAGAATTATATACAGAATTTCAGCATTAACATGAACAGGAGGTTTGCAATAACTTAGTAATCCACCACGTCGTGCAGATGATGTCCAGGTCAGGCCAGTTCACAGGAATGACAAAAGGAGCACAGTAAAAAAAAGCTCCTTTTCTCCAAACAACTCTGCAACTTGTTTTGTTTTCTGTCATTATGGATGTGCCATAGACAGGATCATGTATATATTCCCTTGCTGTTTTTTTCTGTCTTCTGCTCTTAAAATTCAATAAAAAATTCCTTTAAGAATTTGATGTTTTTTTTTAAAGCTACTTGAGAAACAAAACAGTGCAAGAGGTGCGAACGAGTCGCAGGCCGCCCACCGGAGGAGCGGAGGACAAAGGCGTGCTATAAGAAGGGGTTTGTGGATGAGCCTCCTGCAGGAAACTGTGCTGCTGGTGCCCCTGCCTGCAAGAGAAAAGAAAAAAGATAAATGTGATGACAAGAAGAAACCGAAACCCAACAGATTTAGCGTCAAAATAAAGTTATTTTATAAATAAACAAATAAAAATAAGACTTAAATTAACATTTGGAATATAAAAAAATCAATCAATCTATCTATCTATCATTATAATTATAAATTAATAAGATTTAACTTAATTCTTTTGTAAAGTAAATGAATAAAAGTAAGCGACTCAAATTAACATTTAGAGTAGAATGTAAGCTATAAAATGTACAATATATTAATTATTAATTGTAAATTAATAACAGATCGGACTTAATAAATACAAATACAAATAAATACAATGCAATACAAATAAAATGACTGAAATGAAGAGACTCAAAGTAACATTTGGAATAAAATGAAGACTTTTAAAATATTATAATTAAAATACATAAATGAAAATTTTTTAATATATACTGTAGATTGCAATCAATCAAAATGTGTCATTTAACACACCAGGAAGGGATTGTTGGTTACTCCAGGCGCCGTCATGTTCTGTCCAAACGGAGTGACTTTACCCTGACCAAATGCAGCAAAACCTCCTAATGAAAAAGAGACAAATATGTGAATACAAAAAATGAAATGTGACCATGTAAAACAGTCTTTTTCGCTGAAGTACAGCTGAAACATTCTACAAAAAGCTGCATGACATTGGAATTATTTGTACACCATGAATATAATGGCATTAAAATCACTGCAGCAAGTCTTTCTCAGCCCCTACCGTTGGGTTGTTGGGGATACGCGTGCTGCTGGGGGAACGGCTGTCCAGGAAACGCTTGCTGGAAGTTTCCACTGAAGCTGGTGGGAAGGTTGTACGCAGCAGCGTTTCCAAACCCAGTCGGCATGCTCATGGACGGAGGACCGAAAGAGGCTGTGGGACACAAAGAACTCTGCGCTAACATCTCAGTTTGACATACATACACGTGCCGTTCTTGGCCAATCTGTGAGATGCACAGACATAATGTTTGCACTTCAATTTCACTTGAAACAATCTTTAAACAACAGCTGAACTACCTGACTAATTAACTTTAACTTATCAGTGTATTTGAAATTGAACTTTTTCAGGAATCCAACACTCCACTGAGAAAAGTGAAGTTATTTAAGAGTCAAAGCAAATTCAATTTTAAATTTGGAAGACAAACCTAAAGTAACATGTACTGACAAATCAATCACAGTAAGCCTAGGAAAAAGGGTCATGTTGACTTTAAGGAAGTGCTATTTTTATCCTGAGTACAGAAATCTGTGACAATGAGTCTGCAAAACAGATGACAAAACATGACAAAAGCTCCACAGCAAAAAAGGAGGAAAGACAATACAGAACAAAGAACCAAAAGTTTCCAATACTAACGTTATTCAATCAACATCAGCAAGTCTATTAATATATATATATATATATATATATATAAATAATGT